CACCACACGTGACTCTTGCTTTCTTCTTGCAAAGAGTAGCACTATTTTATTCAGATTCTGAGAGAGGAGCAGTGTTCTTAGAGAAAATGAATATAACCAAGACAAAAGAAGTTATTTCTGGCCCCGGCCAGTGAGATAAACAGGTGAAATTGGCTGGAAGACACTGAAGAGGAAATGTGTGAACAGACATGCACACAGAAGGCAGTGGTCATTCTTTTTCCTGCTTTTAACTCTACTTGGGGGGTGGATAATTTGCTTTGTATAAGGACACACCACCCATCTAATCATGAACAGAAGCATGGAAAGATAAATTTCTTTGGGCCGCACAATGTGAGTGTGCCACCACATTGCAATTGAGCTCCACAGGGTGTGCTGTGACTTCTGGAGAAAGGAGGGAATGAAACACCTCACACAAAGGAACAGCAGCTGTTAGTGGCGTAACCATAACAATCATGATAGAAAACATTCCTCTCTCTCTCTCTCTCTCTCTCTCTCTCTCTCAAGGTGCCTGCCACCTTCCCACAGTGGTCTGGGATAATAACCCCAGCCACTGCCTCTTGTCACTGCTAAAGAACTCAGTCATAGATGTCACAGAACTGGGGACTAACCCAGTTCTGAGTTATAGGTTATAGGTCTAACCTATAACACAAAAGCGGGGGGGGGGGGGGGGGGGGGGGGAACTGAGCAATAAACAACATGTAAAATCAAAGCAGAATTAGTACTACAGCATCCTATACGTCAAAGCTGTAAGCAGCAGGTATTGTTCATTTCTTCTGTCCCGGAAGCCACAACCCTGCAATCTAGCCGATGAAGTAGCTCTGTAATTTAGCACTTGTGTTTAGGGAGAAGGGGAGGGGTGTTGGTTTAGTTTGGTTTTGTTGTTGCAGACTTCAGTAATAAATGGCATTGTTGCATGAACTTTTGCTGTGGAAATGAACAAAATGTCTGTTCATCTCAGGTCTGTATCAACACAATCCAAGTAATAATTCCGTCCAGTATGGCTTGGTGAACCACAGAATTTTTTCCTACTTAAGTCACATGCATAAGGAATTATTAACAGGAGGGTGAGTGTCCCCAAAAGGGCATCTTCACCAAATCTTACCTCAGCACGGATGAAGACTTCCCCATGGTGGCATTGATGGAGTGCCTCTTTTAGCCACCTTCTATGCTCAGTATACACTAACATTGCCCCTGTCGTGGAAAGCTGCAGTAGAAATCAGGGGACAAAGGACGCAGTGGCTGGAATCACAAGTTCTCCCTAGCCCTAGTATGAAGGACTGTCAACAGATCCCATTTTGAGGATGGCCTGTAAGTGAGCCCAGCTACTTGGACTAAGAATGTAACCCCTCCTGTGCTCAGAGGGCAGTGGTCCACACTCTCCTTGACAGTATCATTATGAAGATATTACACTACTTCTGCTGGAGACTGGAGTAAGATCGTGTAATTTTCAATACAATCTTAAATGGGAAAAAATCAGAACCTAAGAGTGTATATATCCTCTCATTACGACCTCAGGGAACATGGCTATAATTAGCCTGGGCTGTAATTGGCAAACAGGTTGTTAAATATGCACCCAGCTGAAAGCAGGCAGGGAGAGTGTTGTGGATTCACGAAGCTGTTTAGGCAGAAAGTAAAGAAAGAAAAGACCACAGTGCTAACCGTGAATGCTATAAAGGGCATCACTCCTCTCCACCAAGACATCAAAATGGCCTGGGCAGCCAAGTGAGGAGCTGAATGTGCCAGGAGCTGTGAAGGTATAAGAGACCTGCATATTCCACGCAGCACCCAGAGCTCTACTGTGGGGGCCCATATCAGGACACAAGCCCCATAATTCAAGGAGCACTGGGGGTCCAGCCCTGAGGGGACACAGCACAGCTTCCAGGTGCCACTGCCTGGAAAAATATCCTTCCAGAATGTTTGCTACCGATCTGCAGCTTCGGTGGATGCTGTGCTTGTGGTCAGTCCTAGAACGCATGAACAGCCAGATCTATGCCCTCCTTAGGAGGCTGCAGAGGACAGTAGAGCAGCCATGTCCCCGTGAGATCAGCCATCCAGGAAACCTGCAAGATGACACTCACAAATACGTGTTTATAAGCATGTAAAGGGGCCTTTGAGATGGTTCAACCGGTAAAGGAGTTTGCCTCCAAGTCTGACGACTTGAATTCAATCCCCAGAGCCCACATGCCCCCTATAAATAAATACTTAATTTTTAAAAAGTATGTGAAAATAGATACATAGATCTTAATACATTCTCTAAATGTAAGGAAATGTTCTTTCCATTTTCTGTCTACTGTGCCCTATGGCTGACTTAGACCTTTCTATATTCATACATCAATATTCTCTATTTTTGAAACAAGGTCTCTAGCCCGGTAACCCAGCCCATCTTCATTATATAGTCAAGGATGTGCTTGAACCTCTGATTTTCCTGCCTCCACTTCCCAAATACTGGGTAGTGATTTGTTACCATGCAGGTTGTGAACCTCACTTTTTCATGAAAATTGCATTATCTGACTTCCCTGCCACCATGCTCACACTGTGTCCCCACCTGGCCCACAGGATACAGGTGGAAAGAAGCATGTTGCACACAAGAATAAGTCCATGTCCTGCCCTGAAGAAACAGCCCACTCACTCAGTACAGTCACCTCAGAGGACTTCTGATTCGGCCTCCTCCTGCCCCCTACTTCTTTTTTTTTTTTGGTTTTTCGAGACAGGGTTTCTCTGTGTAGCTTTGCGCCTTTCCTGGAACTCGCTTTGGAGACCAGGCTGGCCTCGAACTCACAGAGATCCGCCTGGCTCTGCCTCCGGAGTGCTGGGATTAAAGGCGTGCGCCACCACCGCCCGGCGCCCCCTACTTCTTCAGACCTTGATTCATGGGTGTCTTCCTCTAGCTATGCTCCCTCTCTACAGTTGGGCCCTAACACAAAGGAAGCCCCTCATTTTTATGTAACCTATTTTGCAATGGCCATTTTGAAGATCTAGGAATGGAAATTGTAAATAACAGTGTATTGCCAAATCCCTTTCCTTGGGAGAGACAAAAATAACATGAACCCACCCCCTCAGGTCCCAGTGATAAACCATAGTGCAATTCCTCCAGAGTTCACTGGGAACCAATGAGTGTATCAGGCCAATGGGGGGAGGCTTCCAGGTGACCTTAACCAGCTACTCTAGAAGGTCTGCAGCCAGGAGCGATGGTGGCTTCTCCATGGCTGTGTAGATGAAGCCTCTTCCCTTCATCCTCCCCCACCTGCATCCTGTAGTCCCTCCCCCAAGACCCAAGGTCACATGAAACTAGGGAAGAATTGTAGCTAGTTATGGTGGCTGTACCCTCCTGCCCACTCCTCCAGTGAGGAAAGGTAAACAGCCAACAGGTACAACTGTGATGAGCTTTTGGCCCAGGCTCAGCCCGACTCTTGTTCTACACGGGACTACCCACCAGCATGATCTTGAAATAAAATCAACAAAGACCTAAAGAAAATAAAAGCAACATGATAAAATGGTAGACAAGTCTACATATAAAGTGCTCAGGCATGAGTACATAGAACCTACATGCAGGCAATAGCACCTGACAATGGTGGACAAAGAGAAGTGGAGGTCTGTGAGAGGGGAAGCATCCACTGCAGTACCACCGTCACCAACGGCTAATGTTGCTTTTCCGTAGTTCTGGTTCTCAGGAGACTAGATCAAGAGCAGTTGCTATAGAGAGAGACCACCACAGTCCTTCCTCCCATAGATCCACTACATTAAAAGTTATTTAGATTTACCTTGACATATATGTGTGTATTTGAATATGTGTGTGTGTGTGTGTGTGTGTGTGTGTGTGTGTGTATCTATATGCACACACACTTTCGGAGGGGTTTTTGTTTGGAATCACACTCTACATTTTAACACACATAGGCTTCTGTCTGATTAACCAGAGGCACTCTCTGAAGTCGAATGCTGTTTATTTGGGACAGCAGAACCCGTCAACGTGGGTCCATGTACCCAGGGAAACTGTGTGTGTTCATTCAAGGACCGTTGGGGCAAATGAAAGGTTTTGAAGGACAAACTGAGGAGGAGGGAGATGGAGAGATGGCTCAGGTAATAAAGCGCTTGCCACACACCTTGAGGACCTGAGAACAGCACCCATGTGGACACAGTGACATTCGCCTGTCACCCCAGCACTGGGGGCCAGAGACAAGAAGACCCCTGCAGCTTGCTGGCGAGCCAGTCTAGCCAAGTCAGGGAGCTCCACAGTGGGTGTCTTAGGGAAGGTTGAGGTCCAGGTGTACAGATAGGCACAAGGGCCTTGGGGGTCAGTGAGAGACCCTGTCTCAGAGAGCAAGGTGGTGAGCAACTGAAGAGGAAGCCTGACCGTGACCTGTGGCCGCCACATGCATGCACACGTTCGTGCATGTGGGTACACCCGCACAGACATGCTCAAATGCCCCACACACGTACACACGCGCACATACACACACACACACACACACACACACACACACACACACACACAGTAAGAGGATTGCATAACTATTTTGAAACCATCTTAGGCTACAAAGAAAAATAAAAAAGGTAGTGCTATTCCAAGATTAAACAGTTGTTGGGCCAACACCTTTGTGTACCCAGTGTGTGCATGTGAGCGTGTGTGTAAGGTTGTGGTTCTAGTAGAGCATTTGATGAATACTCTTATCAGTCATGCATGCACGGGGTCCCCTCCTTTGTTTACTTATTTATTATTAATTAATTCAACATTTCTTCCTCCTTTTTTGTTAGGGCTTGACGAGTGAGTCCATTTTGATTCCTACAAGCTTCAGTCTGGCAAATCAAAGCCTCTCCAGGCACCAAACCGCCTGCGTTTCAGAATTCCCAGGGAGGAATTCTCAGGGAGGAATTCCCAGGGAGGTCATGGCAATCAAGGACAGGGCAACAGAAAGCAGCTAAAGGTGGCACTCCTTTGTGCTTGTGCAGTCCCCAGAGACCCCGGAGGCTCGGCTGCTGTAAATGGGACTTGGTGCTGGGCTGCCCACAGACCCCGGGGACTCAGCTGCTGTAAATGGGACTTGGTGCTGGGCTGCCCACAGACCCCGGGGGCTCGGCTGCTGTAAATGGGACTTGGTGCTGGGCTGCCCACAGACCCCGGGGGCTCAGCTGCTGTAAATGAGACTTGGTGCTGGGCTGGGCTCCTCCGACAACTGGAGAGCTGAGATGTCTCCGAGGCACATCCCCAATCTAGGAGGCTGTCTGCCCTAGCCACTTGAGAGGAAGTACACAGAGGACAAGTTGCAACAGTTACTGTACTTCCTTCAGGCCTCACTCTTGGGACGTGGCGACCAGCAGAAAGCAGCTTGGTGGTGGAGGAGTGCCTTGGTGGAGGGACGCCTGCCCTGGTCCAGGCACACCACAGAGGTAACCTCAATGCTTGTGGGAGTGAATAAGGCTCCTGGGGGCACACTGCTAGGAGTGCTGTGTTCCTTCTCTTACCTCCCCCCAGTTTTTCCTAAGTTGTAGTCAATTCGTAGGCCTTAAAGATCAGGGTTTCTTAAAAACCGTGCGGGGTGTTCTAGAGGCCTTTTTAGATGGTGTCGAACACTTCTTGGCTCTGACTCAAGTGTGCCTGAGTCTACAGCGGTTTTCAATAGATATTGGAGAGGCCAGCGTGCTAGTCCCGGGAGGAGTTCCGAGAAGTTAGCACTCGGTGACCTGGCTTCTCTGCTCAGTCTGGAATGCAGTGTGCTGCCACTTCTGGGTTTAGGGAGGAAGACAGAAGGGTTAGAGGCCACAGACTGTGCTGAACTGAAAACCCCTTTCTGCCGCCTCGACTGAACGGGGTCTGACTGAAGCCTCATCTCACCTCGGCTTTCACTGCCTAGGAAGGACACCCGAGTTCTGTATCTTCAGGCAGTCCTTCAGCAGCGCCAGAGACGGGTCAGCTGCTGGTGACTCACACTTCCTCACTTCCTGGACCTTTCAAAGGTCCAGCCTGGGTCTGAAACCCTTCCCTGAAATGACTTACTTTGTTCTAGGGTAGATGCTCAGTGTGTCTGCACGGGCTTGCATTTCTCCATTAAAGAAAGAACAGCCGATGTGCATCCCCAGCCTTCCTGCGGCTGGATTTATCAGTGACCCCATGGGCTCTGTGAATTCCAGAGGTCACAAGGGAGAAGCCCAGGTGGTAATGATGGGCCTCGACTCTGCTGGCAAGACCACAATCCTCTATAAACTGAAAGGGAATCCACTGGTGGAGACCTTACCCACGGTTGGTTTCAACGTAGAGCCTCTTGAAGCTCCCGGACATGTGTCGCTGATTCTCTGGGACATTGGGGGACAGAGCCAGCTCAGGGCCACCTGGAAGGACTACCTGGAAGGCACTAGCATCCTTGTGTATGTGCTGGATAGCACAGATGAAGCCCGCTTGCCTGAGGCAGTGGCTGAGCTGGAGGAAGTCCTGGAAGACCCCAACATGGCCGGTGTCCCTTTCTTGGTACTGGCCAACAAGCAGGAGGCTCCCGATGCTCTTCCACTGCTTGAAATCAGAAACAGGCTGGGCCTGGAAAGGTTCCAAGACCGTTGCTGGGAGCTCCGGGCCTGCAGTGCTCTCACAGGCCAGGGGCTACAGGAAGCCCTGCAGAGCCTGCTGCACTTGCTGAGGTCCTGCTGAGATGCAGTAACCTGTGACTCCTCGAGGCTGGAGCAGGACAGAAGCTGGACAGGCAGAACAGCTTATCCTTGCTTCTAGGAACAGGAAGGGCCAGCTGATTCTTGAGAAACTGCAGCTCAGTTTACCACACAAGAAATCCTTTTACTCTTGGACAGGATATTTTCTTCTCAGGACGTGTTCTTGGTGGCACTTGTGATAAAAACCAACTGTTTTTTTTTTTTTAAATAATAATAGCCGGGGGAAATATAAAAATCCTCAAAATACCTCATGTGATAGCTCAGGACCAAGTGTGAATGCAGCAAAGTTGGCAACAATAACTGAGAACCAAGTTCACAGACGAGAAGAAGTCTCAAAACGGCATCTGAGTGTCACCTGGACCTGTTGTCATCAGGAGCAATTCTTCCTGCTGCCTCTGGGCACAAGCCATTGTCACTCTTCCTACAGTTCACTGGGCTGGCAGCAGAGAGGGGCGTTCAGCTCCCACAATTTCACCCTGCTCCCCAACTCTGATTAACTCCTCTCTGCCCTCCACCCTATGTAGTAAAAAAATAAAACAAAACTCCACGTGTACTCTCTTTCTTCTTGTTCCTTTGCTTTCTTTCTAGCACACGTCTTTCCCTACATACATATGAGAAGATCGGGGGCTGGGAGGTGACTTAGCAGGTAATGGTACTTGATGCTGAGCCTAATGACCTGGGTTTGGCCCCCCAAAACCACAGGGTGGAAAGAGAGAACTACTCCTGCAAATTGTCCTTTGACCTCCACACATGTGCTGTGGCACATGCATGTATATACATGCACACACACACACACACACACACACACACACACACGCTCGTGCAATGGTAAGCATGTGTCTCCCATCCTCCAAATAAGTACATATTTTCAAAAAGTGTTCTCAATCAGATCAAGCTTGGGATGTAGCACAGTGCCTTGAATGCACATACAGAGTTTCGGGTTCTATCTCCAGCATTGGATTGGGGGTGCAGGAAGTGTAAAGGTCAATGGTGCCTGCCCGTAATTCCAGTGTCTGGGGGCCAGAAATGTCAGGAGGACTAGGAGTTGAAGTCCAGCAGGGGCTGCAAAGTAAAACAATAATTCTAGTAAAATAGATCAGATGGGTTGATTTTAATGAACTGTGTGTAGAGGGTGAGAGTTGTTTCATTTGTGGCCAAAACAAACAATCCCCTGGTGTGGTGGCCACACAGCCCTGGGAGCGGGGAGTCTGCATAGTCAGATCCTGGGAAAAGAGGGCCAGGGCAAATAAATCAGGATGGAAGGGAGAGAGGGAGGGAGAGAGGAAGGAATAGGGAGGGAGGAAGAAGGGAAGGAAGGAAGAGAGAGAAAAGAAAAAGAAGGCTGAGGAAGGGCGGAACAAGCGAAGCAACAAAACCCGCCCAGCAAACCACCGCTGCCTGTGGACCAGGAGTTACAGGTGAGCTGTGATCTGAATCCTGGTGACGGCAACAGTTCTCTCCAGTTCTCTCGCTACAACCCAGGGATCGGGGACAGATGTGCTGCTGTGTTGTGTGTTATAAAGACACATCTGTACCCCATATTGTCAAAAGGAATCTGCATGTGCGTGTTATTAGCAGCTGGACATCCATACATTAGAAATGGTTTCTTGTTCTGAGTTAACCCCTCCCAGCCCAGCTACACATCACACACACACACACACACACACACACACACACACACACACACACACATACACACACTTACATGCATACAGCACCACTACAAAAGAGGCCTTTCAGAAAGCAGAGGCAGAGGGGGCACAGGACAGAAGGTGTTCCTGTAGGCAATCAAGTGAGATATTAAGGTACCCAGGTGTAACGGTTTGAGGCAAGGCACAGGAGCTCAAGGCAGACCTGTGGACCAGACAACAGTTGGACTGGATTGATGAACTAAGGCCCTGAGGAAGCATGCTGAGCTGAAGCCCAGGGGCAGTTGGCAATTCTCTGTCTGTTGGTCCTCTAGTGCACATATTAGGTGGCCCCCTGTAGCATCAGGTGAGTGACTTACCCTCCTTGGATCTGGTGTGTGCAGTAAGTTCTTGGGCCTGGCTTTTCTGATATGGTTTAAAATCTCATGTGCTCATATGGTCTCAATTTTCTTATTGTCTGTTTGTTCAAGACAGACTCACTACGTAGCTCTGACTGGCATGGAATTCACTACGTAGATCAGGCTAGCCTTGAACTCAGAGAAATACGCCCGCCTCTGCCTCATGAGTGCTGAGATTAATGGCCACCACAACCAACCCGTAAGATCTGGATTCACTTTGAATGTATAGATGGTGCTTGTTTCTGTATCTGCACTCCAAATGGAGCCCACAACCGCTTGTAAATGGAGTCACCCAGGGCAAGGCATGGCCTGAAGCCACTGTTTCACGCAGTGTGGAGTTACTTAGAGCAGGGCACAAGGTCTAGGTTCAATCTCTAAAACTGTTTTTATATCTCCCCATTAAAAAAAAAAAATGGGGAGAGAGTTGTGGGGAGAGGGTTGATGGTCCCTCTTGAATATAAGATTCATCACTCTGCCCCTTTCTCTTTCTGCTCACCTTTAGTCTTCTCTCTCTCTCTCTCTCTCTCTCTCTCTCTCTCTCTCTCTCTCTCTCTCCCTCTCTCCCAATAAAGCTCTAAAAAGGTAAAAAAAAAAAAGATTCATCACTCTGCTGTGGAACAATTTCTTTGTACACTGTGAATATTTGTTGTTCTGTTGGTTTAATCAAGAGCTAACTGGCCAATAGCTAGGCAGGAAGAGGTTAGGTGGGAGAGCCAAACTGAGAGGATGCTGGGAAGAAGAATGGCTGGGGTCACTGGGAGTCGCCAGGCAGACCTGGAGGGAAGCAAGATGAACATGCCATACTGAAAAAGGTACCACCATGAGGTAGAGTGTAGTTTAGAAATATGGGTTTATTTAAGTTGTAAGAGCTAGTTAGTAACAAACCTAAGCTATTGGCTGAGCATTTATAATTAATAACAAGTCTCTGTGCAGTTATTTGGGAGCTGATGGGGAGGACAAAAACTTCCACCCACATCACTCCCCTCATTATCCTTACTGTTTGTATAACATTTATTGGAGGAGGCTTGTCATTTTAAGTTCTTTCTTTGGTCTCTTTGGTATTTATATGAATCTTTTTTGTTTGGTTTGGTTTGGTTTTTGTTTGTTTGTTTGTTTTTTGTTTTTGTTTTTCAAGACAGGGTTTCTCTGTGTAGCTTTGAGACTTTCCTGGAACTCACTCTGTAACTGGGTATGTGCTGGCTCTCTTGGGTGGCGAGGACCCGGTCAGGTGGTGTGGAGCAGCTTGTGGTTGGTCCCCATCTCCCCTGGACAGAGCGACAGGACTCAGCAACTGGATCAGTGGCAACATCTACCTTGTCCTGTATCCGTGAGTCTGTATCCCCATTGTACCCCTTAATAAGTTAGTACTAGACCTCAGTGACTTGTCACAGTAGCCTATGGGGCTTTGGGTGTAGAGATGTAATCAAGTGAGACGGGGACCCTTCCCCCAGTTTCCATGGAGGAGAGGGAGCCTGACTTAGGCCTCAAACGCAAACCATCCCTGTCCTGAAGATAGAAGTTTGTTTTCCTTTGAGTAAAGGCCATTAGCTCACAGAGGTGGTGACCTCATTTGCTAGGTGAGTCCTGGGTGAACTCAGAGTGACAAATGGGTTTCACCAGGCCCTTTTGCTTGGGGACTAACATCATTGCCTTGGGAACACATGGAAAGGCTGTGTCTTCTTGTCCACCCTTGCTAACTCTAGGAGGGCTGCCTGCAATGTGCCAGGGCCTAGCTGAATGCTTGCTCAGACTAGCAAATTGTCTTGCTCAGCAGGGGTCTTCTTCTCATTATCAACAGATGCCAGGATCCAGTGAGATTTTCCTTTCACTCACATGGGAAAGAAGGGTGCAAGGCCCCAGTGTGTCCTAGGGAACAAAGGAAGGTTTTGAAGGGCCCCGAATTAGGAAGACAGAGCATGTTCAGTTGTGGTCAGCAGGACTGCAACAGTGAATTTGTGACTGCCCCTGAGCTCAGCCAAGGAAGGCTTTCACAGGTTGTGAAGGCTGACCCTGGAGTCTCTTTCTATAAGGCCCATAGATGCCGACGCTCCGAGAAAATCACAACAACTTTAGGGAGTAGAGAGTGTATCATTGTCACCGAATTGTCTTGATTTTCACCCCTCTAAGATGTTCACCATCAAGGACCTTGGGCTCTGCGGCAACAGAATGTGTGATTTAAAATCCTCCCCAAAGCCTGAAAGATGCTGAGCAGTGATGCTGAGCTCACCCATGTTTGCTGCTCTGCATCCCCATTGGCAGGCTCCCAGTCACCTGTAACTCCAGATCCAGGTGAGCTGACACTCTCTTCTGGCCTCTTTGGGCACCAGGCACACGTATGGTCCATATACATACATACTTGTATACATTTAAAAAAATGTATCTTTAAAAAAAAAATGAAACAAACAAAAACCTCTTTTAGAGGCTTTATCCAGCAACTGATGGAGCAGATGCAGAGATCCACGGCCAAATATTGGGCAGAGCTCATGGAATCCTGCAGAAGAGGGCAAGGAAGGGTTGTAAGAGCCAGAGGGGTCAAGGACACCACAAGAAAACAGCACATAGAATCAACTACCCAGGGCTCGTAGGGGCTCACCGAGGCTGAACCGACAATCACGGAGCCTGCATGGGTCTGACCTAGGTCCTCTGCATATATTTATGGTCGTGTAGCTTGGTGTTCTTGTGGGGCTCCTAACAGTGGGAGTGGGGGCTGTCTCTGACTCTTTTGCTTGCTTTTAGGACCCTTTTCCTCTTACTGGGTGCTTCATCCAGTATGAAGATGAGGGGATGTGCCTAGTCTTACTGCAACTTGATATGCCATGTTTGGTCAATATCCCTGGGAGGCCTGCCCTTTTCTGAAGGGAAAGGAGGAGAAGTGTTTTAATCCCATAAAACTCAAGGTTACAAACACTTCAGCCCAACGTAAGCAGAGGGGTTTTTCTTCTGTTTGTTTTGTCAAACAGAGTCTCATGTAGCTCAGGCTGGCCTCAAACCTGATGTGCAGCCAGGATTTGTCATTTTTAGTATCTTTGATGGGGGGCGGGGGTATCGTTAGGGAATGGCACATTGTCTCTGAAGGCAATTTTTGCTTTATCAGTTGAGTCCAAGTTTCTAGACTCTCAGTCAGCCTGAACGGCAAACAAGATCTTTGCCTTCT